GGGCTGGCTTGGAACTCACTGTGTAGAGGAGGAGGGCTTTGACACTCCGATCCTCCGGTTTCTCTCAGGTATGGATTCACAGGCCTACGGTTTTGTATGACTCTGTGACCACTTCTGCTTAGACACTAGGCAGGTTCTGCATGCAGCCTGTACACTTAGAGCCACATAAAAGAAAGAAGGACTGGACAGGTTGCTCAGTGGTTAAGAGCATTTTCTGCTCTCGCAGAGGACTCAGGTTCTGTGCCTAGCACCAGCCCTCCTGTGAGGAGCCCTAGCAACCTAGTTCCCCCCACAGGCTGGGCTTGCTGGAGGTCTTGTTGGGCCTCTCTGCACCCTTCATATTTGGGTGAACATGTTTCTGTCCCCCAGGAATGTTGCTGTGTCACCCTGCACTGAGAAAGGCGTGGGTTCTGGCCAGGTGTCTTTGGTACTGTTCCTATTAGAGTCCCTGGTGAGCCATGACCATCCGAGGGAAGTGGCTTCAGGCCCTTTAAAATTTTTTGAGCATTTGAGACCTTTCATATTAAGAGATGGGTGGGCAGAATCTTTTGACTTCAGCGTCTATAGCTTTGTTTGTTTGTTTTGTTTTTAATATAGGCATTCACTATGTAGCCCAGGCTGGCCCTGAAGTCATGATCTTCCTGCCTCATTTTCTAGGGCCTGAAATCACAGGTATGTATCACCACTCAGGCCCGGTGAGCCCCTAGTTTTGTAAGGCCCCATGAAGAATGATCAGAGGAGCTTGCCTGAGGTTTGGCCAAGAGAAACATCTTGGTGGTGGCTGGTGCCCTGGTTGGGCAGAAACTGGAGTAGGGAGATCTGTCCCATGGATATATCTTCCAGATGGGTGTGCCCAGCGGGGCAGAGCAAAGAAGAACAAAGCTGCTGGAGGTGGTGACAGGGTCAGAGGAGAACGGAGATGTGACGACCCCGAGCTCTTCTCTGAATCTGATGGGTCTGCCTGATCCACTGAGCTCCCCTTCCCCATACAGAGCGGGTTCAGGGAGAGGGGAGAGGGTGGCTGTAGAGTACCAAAGGACTCAGGGCTCCTCCAGGGTTGATGTTCCCCAGTGTCTCAACAGGGTCTTTGTAGTCACATGTCATAAACTCTTGTTTGACAACGAAGGGTTTGTTGTGAACTGTCTCAGATGGCGCGCTCCATGGCCAGGAAGGTCTGCCACTGCCCTGTTTGAGCTTCCTTTGTGAGTTCAGGGTGGTGGGTCTGTGCTTATGGCTGCCCTCGTCCTCCCTGGCTCTGACCTCCTCTGTCACAGCTGTGATCTGGAAGGGGCGGAAGGGGAAGCCCTCTTCTCACAGGTGGAGGAAGCTGTGGGAGAAAAGCCACCATGGTGGGCTGGGACCCAGGTCACCGTGGGCACCAGAGCCAGCAGTGCCAGACAGGCCATATAGGAAAATGTCAGAGGCTCCAGGCAGTTCACAGCTATGAGCAAAAGGGTGTGTGCTTGTGCCTGGGACCAAGCCTTTGGAAACCTTGTTCCCTGTAGCATTTAGATGTTTGAACCTCAGTTTCCTCGTCTGTAAAAAGGACATCACCTTGGCAACGGTGCTCAGGAAGTCAATGCTACATCTAGCCAACGTGCTCTTCACATTCAAGTCCTCTCTCTGAGGGTTAGGGCCCCTATTGCATGGCGGTCTTGACCACAGGCAAGGAAGTTAAGGTGGTCTATTTTTCTTCTTTCTTTCTCTCTTTCTCTTTCTTTTTGGTTTTTGAGACAGGGTTTCTCTGTGGTTTTGGAGCCTGTTCTGGAACTAGCTTTTGTAGACCAGGCTGGCCTTGAACTCACAGAGATCTGCCTGCCTCTGCCTCCTGAGTGCTGGGATTAAAGGCATGCACCACCACTGCCCGGCTAAGGTGGTCTATTTCTGAATCCAGCCTCCCTTTCCTCTGATTGAATGGGCTGTGGTCCTGGGCAGCTTTAAGCTTCCAGAATCCCCGCTAGGCACTAATGACTCGGGAAAGTGATGGAGAGAGCACATGACCCCTTTCATCTGGGGTCACATTCTGACCAAGTGGCACCCATGGCATCTTGCCTCTAGGTGACCCTGGCCAGGGAGGTTGCACAGTAAAATGAACTTCTCCTCTCCATGGCCTTGGCAGGACATGGTTCCACACTGGGGCTGTAAAGTGCTCCCGAGTGGTGCTCCACTTCATAGCTGGCACTCGTTCCAGGAGGTTGCCCTGGTGTGCCCAGCCTGGACTTCCCTTAAGCCAACGCCCTCCTTAGACCTTATGCTCTCCACACTCCCTGAGTCCTGGGGCAGAGAACATGTTTTTGTCATAGTTCTGGGAAGCATCATGATGGCTTGATTTCCATGGACACCTGGGATAGTGGGTGGCTGCTGAGTTAACTTCAGGTTGTGTCTCCAGGATGTCTGGCCATCTCACCCAGTGGCTGTGGACAGTGGCCTGTCTCATCTTTGGACTCTTGATCCCCGGGCACATGCCTTACACGGAGACAATGCTGACTTCTCTGCAGTCTGTGATTCAGCTTCTAGAATTACTGGACCCCATGGTGCCTGAGACTCTATGACCCGTGTGACTATAGCCTGCTCAATGGTGTGGTGCACACAGTATGGTGTCCACCCTGCCTCCACATCTGCAGGCTCAGGAGGCACAGTGTGTGGTGACACTCCCCTCTCTGGCTAGAGACCGCTTAGGCTCACTGTTGTGACTAGTCCAGACCCAGGGACGGAATGCTTGGTCCCAATGTGCACCCCACCCTGGATGAAGGCCACTCAGGGACGCCTGACATTTTGAACTTCTAGAAACAGCCGACAGTTGTGAGATCAGAATTGCACTGACCTACTTCTAATGTCTTCTTCTTTTCAAAAGTGAATAGTCACTAAAACACAAATATTTTGTGTCTTTTTTAGCAAAACATAAACCACAAGCCACCGCAGACCCAGGTAGTCATTACTGGCCAGCACCACCAGGGGGCGACACAACAAAGCACTGCCCACCCAGGGTGTCAGGAGAAACCACACCACCCCTATGATAATTCCCTAAACCATGTTTGTATTTAAATGAAAATACTGGACGTGTTAGAGCAGAGAGCATTTTTAATGGAAAATTAATTGATAACACAATTCTGTTTCAACGTTCTCTCTCTTTTGTTTTTTTTAAGCATAAAGGACTGTGTGTGTTCCACAGTCTTCTGACGAGAAGGCCCCACACACAGGGGCTCACGCCTCTCAGCACTCAGTTCTCTAGTCGGGCTTTGCTTCTTTAGGTTGTGCATTGATCTGGGCTTCTCAGTTCAGAAGACAAGGCACTAGAACTATTTTTATCAGCTACATTATACATTGAAGATATATTGATCCCTCATCAAATATACAGATACAGTATGGTTTTATGCAGATTAGTTCAAAACACCCAAGGCACACACTTTGTTTTTAAATCAAAATTTTTTCTATTCAGTATTTATTTGAAGGCTCGTAATAAAGTTTCGGATTGGCTGTGAGCAGAGTTCTAGCAGAAGCTACGAACAGTGGCTGTCGTGACTTTAAACATCAACCAGCAAAGACTATGAGCTGCAGACCCTCATCCCGGAGCACAGGAAGAATCAGCGTCATCAGTGGGAACTTGAAGGGTGAGCCATGGGGCCGACAGAACCTGGGGCAGGGTAGCGGACACCGCCGGATTCTGCCCAAAGCAGGCGGTCTGTATACCTGTGGTTGTGGGACCCCTCCATCCAGGATGCTCCCACCCAGGGCATCCAAAGGTGCAGACATGGTACAGACCCCCAGGGAGCAGACGCCTCAATACAGTTCAAGAAAAGAGAAGGTTGACCAGTAGATGTCCCCTGAAGGATCTCCACCTTACCAAGGGGTCTGGGAAATGTCACTGGACCGTGAAACGGGGAGAACTGAGGGTCTGGGAGGATCTGCTGGGGACTTCAGGGAGCAAAGGACAAGGACGGGACGCAGTGGCTGCTGCTATTTGGATGAAGGGTGTGTCCAAGAAGAGACTCTGTCGGGGAACTCAGGAGGCCAGAGGGGTTCAGCGGTTTTCACATACACTTTCCGGAAGTGCATGGACGGCCCTGGACCCCTGATTCAGCAGTTTGCTAAAGACCCAGATTCTCTCTTGCTCCCTTGGCCTTAGTCCACTGCAGCTCACAAAAACATCGGCTGGTTAGGTCAGCTGGAGAAGCTACTTGGTCTTCAGCTCCCATGACCTCTGGCCAGCCGACACCCCTCAGTGCGGCAAGGACACCTCTCCTCCCAGGAAAGAGGGAGCCGAGCTTGGCTTGGTCTCTGGGTTCCCCTGCATCCACCCTGAAACAAAAGGGACAGCCAGGCCTGGGGCTCTCAGGAGTGGACACACAAGCCCACTTTGACATTTTGCACAATTCTAAAATAATATACAAGGTTTCCGCTTAGACAATGAGGGCACTTGAGGAAACAGGCCTGAGGCGAAGTGGCTGAAGGAGAGATGCCACGCCGTCACCTGGTCCAGGTAAAGCTGACTAAGGTGTGGGAAACACCCTACACCGGATGGCAAACTTAATAGCTCTGAGGAGTCAGGTTCCACCTTCCCCTTTGTAATCAGAACCACAACCTTATTGCAAGAGTATATTTATTTTTTTTACAGTAATTTTGGTTGCCATACAAGAGATCGAAGGATTGGGGGGGGTGCAAAGTACAGGAACTTTCTCTCTCTCTTTCTCTCTCTCTCTCTCCCTCTAAATAAAGTCTAAAAAGAAAAAGAGCACAAAATTAACAGCAACAAAGATAATGTGACATGTGTTGTTACACACAAACTCTAGTGTGAAACAAGTTAGTATTTAAAACCGAAAATTGCTAATGGGAGAAAAAAAATCATTATTTGTGGCCCCCCCACCCGCACACACACAAAAAAGTCCTTGCCAGGTCAGCTGGGTAATGTTTGCTTGTTCAATAACTTAGGAAAAAACTCACCATTTTATTAACTAAAGTATCACAAAGGTTTCTTATGTAAAGTTTCAGCACGGCAGCAGTCACACTGAGTTATTTTTAATTGTATGAATTAAATCTAAAATGCGCATGGACACCCCAGAGCAGGGATCCTGGCGGGTATACACAATTTACAGCTTGAGAGATTTTGGTTTTGTATACACAATATTACAGAAACTAGGCATGTAAATTTATGCAGTTATTTAAATTACAGTATATAACAAAAGTTGATCTTAAAACCTGGAAGAGTGGTAACATGGTCCTCATGAGCAGTTTAACATCTGATTCACCACTGAAGGGGGTCCTGGAGCAGGGCCTGGTCCTGACATGTTCCAACTGGGGAGAGCAATGGCGGCGATTTCAACGAGGGACTATTGCTTTCTTAGCAACATTAGCTATCAGAGATAGAGACCAGTCATCTAGGCAAATGTGTGTTCGGGTGGTTGGGGGTGGGTTCTGATAGGCCCAGCGGTGTTTCTGTGCCCAGACACTGCTAAGCAGAGCTGGCCTATCAGCTCCCGAGGCTGGCAGTCAGCTTGCTTCTGCTTGGTGGCATGTGGCTTGAAGTCTAAGGAAGGCAGTCATGGCCTGTCACCCGCTGCCTAAGTTCAGCGGGTCCCAAGCCATCAGGTCTCCTGCCTGGCATCTGCCTGGCACTGAGCACAGAGGTAATGCCAACCGGAGGCAAAGGAAAGGAGCCCAGTGACATGGCACACTGAGGGGACTTCGGAGAACCACCCATGGAAGACAGATTAATGGCAGGGCCACACTTCCACACTCTGAACTCTTTGCTGGCGACCCGCAGTGTCTGTCTGGGGCATCACTCCTTCACCTTGCTGTGGGGAACCGACAGGACCCAGACAAGGTGCTCGCCAGTCACCTGCTACCAGGTGAGCGGATGACTCACAAGTTGGGGTTGGCCTGCCAAGGGTTTTGGGAGCAAAGTAAGATTTGAAGCCTTGGTCTCCATTTCAAGGGGTGTGTGAGGGCGTGTGTGTGTGTGTGTGTGTGTGTGTACATGCGTGTGCGTGTGTGGGCATTGATTTTGGAGAAACTGCCAAGCTGTGGATTGCAATCCTTTTGAAGAAATAATTGCCCTTCAGTGATGGCGCTGTGGCAAGGCTGGGAAGGGAAGAGCTGCAGGCTCCGATGTGTCCAGGGAAGAAAGCTATTTTAAAAGGTTGTTTGTATAATTGTCCCAAGGAAATGGTGTCATTAAACCATGAACCCTTTCTCCCTTTAGCATTCCAGCACGAGGTGGCACAGAGGCTGCCCAGTAGACCAGCCACTTTTTTCCCCCTTAAAATATTGTGCTTATGAACTATCTGTACACATATTTAAACCTGTGGTAAAGAAAGATTTTTTTTTAAAAAAATTGCTAAATTTTATGTGTTCATTCCAGAGCTGTTCCAGGCCTCGTCAGACATGTGGTTGTGAGCATAAGTGAAGAAAAAAAGAAAAGAAACAATGTTTTATAATTAGAGATGGGCTGGGCTAGTTCTGAAATAATAAAACCATAACCTGACATTGACGTCTCCTCTGAGTGCGGGGGAGAGGGGGATTCGGGAGCCTAGCTGGCTGCATAGTGGCTGTGTGCAGTCGGTGACCTCCCTGGGACATTAGAGGTATTGTTTTGGGAGGGAGGAGATCTGGGGGAAGGGCAGGCTCAGGCAGCGGGCCTGAGGTGAGGCTTGGTCCAGGATGCTCCCTGCCTTCCTTTCCACACACGCCTACACTTTGCCACAACCTGTGCCCCACTTTCTGTCCACCAGGTCTTGACCATGGGCTTCTCTGAGACCCAGACTTACAGTTAAGACAAGCTGGTGGGATCCCCGCTATCTGAGAGAAGGGGGAAAGGCCCCTGAGTTCCACCTTTCTTGGCCTCTGAGAGGCAAAGGGCTGCCTCAGCAGGATGCTCCCCATGGCCTGGTGTGGATGGAAGGCATGGCATCCCATTCTCTCCCAGGGAGGACAACAGCTTCCCTGGGCAGCCGTGCTTACCACGAGCCTCAGGTCTTCTTGTCCTTGTCAGAACAGTTGCTTATCTGTCCTGACCTCTGTGGAGCTCAGCAGACATCCGGATAGTTAAAGTAAATTCGAGAGCCCCCGCCTCTCTCTCCTGGGTAGCTGCTGCTCTGGGCAGACACCTGCTCTTGTCCTGGAGGTTGTGGGCTTAGACAGCCACACACTGGTTGGCCCTGCAGCCAGGCCTCCCTCCTCCTCAGGATCGTGACTTTGTGCTTTGACTAACTCCGTGTGACTTCAGTTTGGCCACCCTGGAATTAAATGCTAATCGGTTTGCAGGAATAGAGAAAGCAAGTTAAGCAAGCTGGGCACGATCCCGTCCACACAGCCACCACTGCCAAGGACCTTGGGGCCAAAGAAGCTCAGATGCACATCACAGGAGTCAGACAAAGAGGCGGATGGGACGGCATTTCTCTACCGTCTGGCTCAGGCAGGGCTCCACCTGGAGCTGCTCACTGAGAGCCGAGCACAGGGGAGGGATAGGAGCCAGTGAGCCCACCCGGAGGCCACAGGCCTGAAGAAAGGCTGTGTTCTGGGGCTGGAGGGTGAGAGCTGCCCAGAAGGCAGAGGAGGGAGGCCTCAGGAGGTATCTGGAGTACACTGGTACCTGCCACAGGAGGAGAGGGTCCCACATGCCATCGACAGGAACCTCTGGGACCATGACAGAAACCCCCCTTACCATCCCTTTGGACAGAAGCCGCCCAAGAAATCTGCATGGAGAGCTGGGTTTTGAGGCCCTGGTTTGGCCACACCAAGGACACCCACAGCGTTTCTTTGGGTACCCAGAGACAAGCCCACAGACTGAGAGTGGTGCTCTCAGCCTCTGTTTGGCCACCACACATTTCAACATAAGCCCATCTCTACTTATAACAAAGGAGTCTGTAAAGGCCCAGGGCAGCCACCCTTATCTGTCCAGCAGCTGTTTCAAAGCCCTTTCTATGTTCATCCTATGCCCGACTCGAGTCACCCCCAGATCTATCAAGTCTTCCTTCTGGAGGTTTGGCAGGTGGCTACCATCAATCTCATTGTCCATGAAGGTCTCCTTGTGTTCGCCCAAGTTCAGACTTTCCAGCCAGTCTGCCACGTCTGGTTTCGTCCACAGGTGGACAGGTTTAGTTGTAAAAGGCTTATTTGAGATTGGCTGTTGCAGTATTGAAGGAGATGGTGACCTGCTGCGTCCTGCTGGGTTCAAGCCAAAGAGGTCCCCTGCAGGGGACTGGCTCGGAAGGCTAAAGACATCTGAGAGTGTGGGGGAGGGAGAGGCTGCGGCAGCAGACAGAGGGGTGGGCAGAATCTCTTTGTTCAATTCTGTGGGTGAGACCACGGGGCTCGGGGCACGCCGTGGTCCTGAGGTCCTGCTTTCATAGTCGGGGGGCCGGCTCTGCAGGGAGATGGGCTGGGAGGTGCCGGGGCGGACAGTGAAGGTGACCGTAGTGCTCCGTGTTCCTGAGACTGTGCTCATGATCTCCGGGCTTCTGAAACAGCAAGGAGAGAAGAACATCACTTCTTGGTCATTGAGGATCGGGGATGGGAGGGGGAGGCACCCACACCACAGCAGAAAGTCTGCACCGGCAATGATACAGACTGCCATGCCAGTCAGAAGGAAATAGGTAGAGCGGGAGGCACCGCAGCACAGCAAGCCAGCCGCCACTCACCTGGGCCAGGCTGAGAGGAACCTGGGGGACCTCCTGTGCAGGCCAGAACGAGCCTGGGCCCTCTCCAGTAACATACACCTTACAGAGGACTCCATAGCCCGCCAGGTCTCTGCTTATGGGTTAAAGTCCTTAGATTTGGGATAAATGCGGGGTTTTCATTGCTTTACAAATGCCACACAGGCATGTGGGGTTAGAAGAAATTCTCCTGGGGCACTTAGGGGGCAGAGCATCCAGGCTGCTAAGTTCTGGTGAGCAGTGTTTCACTGTGGGCCTCGGGGTGTACCCATGCACTCCCTCCATGGCCCTATTCCCACAGGAGACAGAAGCCCCCTCTCCCAGTGGTGGCCACGGGTGGTGTCCTTCTTGCCATGTCTGGGTAGGGGAGATCCTCAGAGCAGGGAGGGACAGGCTCAACTCTCCCAGAGCCTATCTCCTCAGGCCCAGTGTGGGAGGATGATCCCCATTGGGAGGAGGACCAGGAAGTTCTCGTCCTCACTCACCTATCTGGAGGTGGTGGTTTTATGAAACACGTCGCCCCCCCGCCCCCACGCTGGGCAGCCCCCCCCCAAGACTTCTAGCCACATAGCTGGGGAGGTGAAGCCTCCCTCCAAGGCTTGCTACTCTCTCTGCTGCCTCCAAACCGCAGCCTTGTGACTATAAGACACCACCAGGGTGAAAACAGGCGCGTCTCTTGACCTGGGCTCGCTCATGGGAATGCGGACACACTACACCCCTCTCATTTCTGGAAAGGTCCATCCTGCCACAGGCACAACCTGGACTGGCGTGGCTCAGAGTTTAGCCCACACACCTTCATGTCCTGTGGAAACTGGTAGGGATCGAGGGCTCCCGAGTCCACCTCTTAGGGGCTTCTGGGCTGTGGTGTTATGGTGTGTGCCTTGAGCTAAAACTTCTGGTGTTGGGGGACCTCTTGACCCCTGCAGGGTTTCAAGATGCTAAGAGACTAGGAGCTCTTCAGAGCCTAAGTGAAGGGTGAGAACCTGAGGCAGCATACTGTGGTCCCTGGAGGGCACTCTGCCCGTCCCTTTCCCTTGGGTGCTGTTTGTTTTCTTTGCCTGCCGTGTGTCTGGGTGAAGTCACTAGCTGGTCACCCAGGCCCCTCTCTGTCCCAGGGAACACCCTTAATAGGTTAGGAGTGACTACCTCAAATACGGGATATTACAAGGGTAGAAAGTAGGTGTGGGTTCCGTGGGCCAGGACTCTGATGTGGATGGGTGGATTGATGCCGGGGATCATCAGACCTGCAGTGATGGCTTCTGGGAACTGTAGGTACATATGGAGCATGCCCCAGAGTGCTCTTTCCAGCAAAGTTTGCTCACACAGCCTGGTTACTGGTTATACTCATGGGCAGGTCATCTTGGCAGGCCTGAGGCAGCCCATGGAGTGAGGCCCTGAGCCCATCTGGGTCTTGCAGCTTTCAGGGAACCCCGAGGATTCAGTTCTAGGTCCTCATGGAGAGGTAGGCCAGGGACATGGTAAGGGTCTGTGGAACCCGCCGTGTCCCCCTCCGATTCTCAGGTTGTAGGTGAGCCATTCCAGGTCCAGCCTGAACAAGCACTGCAGTTGCTTGGCTCTCTTTGCGATGTGTATGTGTGTGTGTGGGGGGGGGGGGGCTCGTTTCCAGCATGTGCCACCTCCCTATGCAGAAGTGGGGCTCCCTTAAGCAAGGACCTGAGGAAGGAGGGAGGCAGGCCAGTGTCCTACAGGAGCTCCTGAAAACCACCGAGGCAGGGAAGAGCTGGGAGGGACATGTGTAGTTCTGTGCCCGGCAATGGCCTGCACCTTGGTTGGGGGTCAATGTGGTTGGCATGCTAGTCCCCCGAGAGCCAGCAGATGCCTGGGCATTGCTTAGCACCCTGGGCTGGGCTGGCTTTGGACAGGATGGACTCTGCAGCAGTTGCTGCTGGGAAACAGGGGTAGGAGCGGGGACAGTGGCACACAGGGGAGCACTCAGCAGGCTGCACTTACTTCTGCTCAGCATGACCCTCTTCTGCACACAGCACCATGGGAGCAAACAGAAACGACACAGGGAGTGGTTGAGACGACCTGCAGAACTGACTGGGAAGTGAGAGGCAGCAGCCTCCTCACGGGGGGGGGGGGGGGAATAAGGTGGGTTGGACCCTGGCTGAATGCTCCACTTCAGATCCCTCCTGGCAGGCAGCCCAGTGGCTCAGACCTTGTGCTCACGTGAGCAAGGGAACCCATGCCTTCTCTGGCACTCAGAGAAGGAAGACTTCCTGACCACGGCTCACAGCTATTTCCCTAACTTGGCTTTGGGCTTGGGAATGAGTCAATGTTCCCAGTGGACAAGGCCAACCTGCCCAGCCTAGGGCTTTCTCAAGTTTACAACACAACATGGCAGTTAGTGCAGCCGCTAACAGCAGGGATATAGTCCTGGCCACCGTTTGGGGCCTGAGGTGCCCCACCCAGCACAGCGAATGCTGAGTAGAGTTGGACTAGCAATGACGGCTAGCTCGCCGGTCCGCTCTGAGCCTTCTGGGTAGCCTGCCTCCTTCCTGGTGAATCACTCTGTCATGACTCACTGGATCCTCCTGTGTGCGCGCAGATCATTATGTTGCTAGGCAACGGCCAGGCTGCTGGGCGGCATACACAGAAGTCTGTTACCCTGATTTAGAATAGATACACACTCACAAACACCCGCCTCTGGGAGGATCATCTCTCGCCTGCTTTTAAAATCAAATTCATTTTTTAAAAATGTGAGAATTAAAAAAACAAACAAATCCAGCTGCTGGCGGACACGCGTCACCTGTCTTCCCTGGCAGGAACTGATGAGCTGGGAGGCAAATGGGCAACAACATTTACACTGTGGTTACCGATTCAGTTGGAACCTGAGCAGCAGTGTGGCCAACACCAGTGTTAGGGTTTAGAACCCTTTGGACATGGACCCTCAGCCGCAGGCTCGCCTCTGTAAGAACCATTTACTCCTAAACCACTTGTTTCCTCTCCTTCCTTTCCTCCTTCTGCATTTCCCATCTTTTGGTGACTTGAAATAAGAGTCTCACTGTTGACCCAGGTGGGTTTAGAACTTGTAGCAACCCCCTTGCCGCAGCCTCCCTAGTGCTGGTATCAGAAGTGTAGAGAACCACGCCAGGCAGCAGACTGCTTTCTCGTGAAGCTGCTCTGCCTTTCTGGGCTCCCACAAATGGGTTGCAGGGCTTGCACTGTAGGAGCGGCACCCTGGTGTCTCCCTGGGACTGTTCTAGTGTTTGCTCAAGATTCAGAAGCTGGGACCCCTCAGCACTCCTCATCCTGGACCCGGCTCTCTCCAGGTCTTAGGGTATGGGCCAGAACTGGCGTACAATGGTAACAGCAGAAGGACCGGCTGTGGCCACCGTGCTAACTTCCTGCCTCGGAAGCTGCTTCGGTCTCCACATCGCTCTCAGCATTCCCACTTCGCTCACAAGTCGCTAGGTTAGAATGATGCCTACTTCCAGGAGAAACTGTCTACCTGTGACAGACTCTTGTCAAAGGAGGGATGAGATCAAGAGAAAACACCTGAGGGGACTGGCAAGATGGCTCGGTGGTTTAGAGCCCTGGCTGCTCTTATAGAGGAGGACCCAGGTTCAATTCCCAGCCAATCCATCCCCCCTTTACCCCCCACGGTTAAACCATTCTAGTTCCAGAGGACCCAACGCCCTCTTCTGGACTCCACTACATGTACATGGTGCGCATACACACAAGCAGACAAAGCAACTGTTACACATAAAAATAGGTACTTTCTAGAAATGAGACCTGCTATTCAATGGTCAAGGGAAGGAACAGTCAGAGGTGTCACCTCAGCATGTGGACTGTGGCAGAGAGTGCCAGGCAGTCCCCGCAGCAGCATACCCTCTAGTTTCGCTTGGTGATGGAGGCACCTAAGCTGCCTGACAGTGCAGAGAGCTTGAGATGCCATGGAACAGGAGCCTGAGCTCTGGGGCCAGCTGGGCATGGCAGTTTAATGATCCATAAAGATCAGTTTCAGAACCGAGAGGCTGGATCATACAGGCGAGCAAGCTGAGAGCCAGGGGACACTGCCAGAGGCAGGAGATGCTGCAGTTCAGGGACCTAGGAGAACAGCAGGGGTTGAGTGAAGCCCCGTAGGCTCCCAAACACTGCCTTCCCAGGGATCTTGGGGACCCAGACTTCCTTAGTACCATTGTTTTCCTCCCAAGTCCCTGTGTGCTTCAGCAAGATGGCGGCCAAAGTGCTGGCCAGAAGTGTGACCACACCCTCAGAAGGAGCTGTGGGGATCCATCCAGCACTCACTACCCCGAGATCTAGGGAGGGTGAACACAAGCCGAGTCTGTCCACGGATGCTGGAAGAGAACAGGTTTTTACCCTCCTTTCTAATGACAATTAGCTCTGCAGAGCCAAGGGGGGATGCTCCTATGTCCCAGGTCACAGCCCGTTCGCACTGTCCACCCGCTTCACACTGTCCACCCGCTGTGTTCAGGGTGCTGTGCTTCCAGTTTCTGTACAGTGGGCTCCTTCTTGTATTTCAAGTCATTGGAAATCACTTCCCCGGAGAACCGGCTCCTTTCCGCACAGGGGCGCTCTATCTTGACGGAGTATCCTTTTTCCTCTGGGGCACTCACCACATTGCCTTCCGGTCTCACTTCGTATTTGCCATTTCTAACCTCAAGAACTTGGCACTCCCCCAAAAGGGGCAAAGACTGCGCTTCTCAATGGCACCACATGGCGCCTGGTACCTTGGGCCATCAAGAGAGGCTGGTGGGGTGAATGACGATGACCACACTTGCCAATTGTGGAGGGCCATGGTGTCCTCTGTGGTGATGTCCTCTTGTCTCTTTCTTGGGCTGGGTACTGGGCTACAGACAGTGGCTGCTAGTGGCTTATTGAACTCCCTATCATGGCTGGGCACTGGTCTCACGTTGCTTTAACCAGGACAACTAAGTGCTCTGCCTAGATCCACAAAGCAACAAGAATGTCACTCAGGCCTGCCACCTCCACTGTGGGCAGATACATCAGCAGATACATTAGACAGGAGGCCTCTGAAAGCCAGAAGCTCTGTCTAGCTAAGGGACATCCCAGGGTCCCCCATGATGCCTTTATGTATCTACCCCACAAGGGCTGAGGCAGACACCACACAGCCATATCCTCTGAGTTCTAGGCTCTTGGGGAGGGCAGAGCTGCTGAGCAGTGGGCTCCATTCTGGAGTACAGCCAGTACAGGAGGAGCCTGTGGACAGTGGGGAAAGACAGTGATTTTAGATCCATCAGCTTCCTTCCTTCGTTCTGGTCTGACTTGAACTATGAGATTGCTTCAGGATCAAGCCTGTGGCTACAACTGCCCCACAGCTTTGCTCCATGGATTTTTCAGGTAGGCCCAGGAGGTGTTTCTGATAAAGAAATCCCCTTTCAACATATTTGTAATTAATTTTGTAATTCCACATTGGCCTGATTTGGGGGTCGGGCTAGAAACCTTGACTATACTAAAGTTAGATCTCTTACACCCAAAGAAGCCAGTGCCAGGCCATCTAACGTTTGCTCCTCCCTGGACCCTGTCCTGGCGCTGGCGTAAGTTGAGTTTCTCAGCGCTCATAAGAGACTCCAGCAGCGAAAGGAACACTATTTCAAAGGCAAAATGAATTCAGCAAAACTCCTCTCACATGGTGGAACCACTGAGGAACAGAGTGGGCTCTTCTTTGGTGAACAAAGTCACCATTGAGGAAAAAGGGTCTCTCTGCCTTAGCGTGTGTCACTTCAGACGACATGGCCAGTTTTTACTTTCCCTCAAACCCTCATTTCTTTTTTCCTCAGTAATAATTCCCTCCATTGGATTTTGAGCCTTATTTTGCTCAGGATAATTCAGGACTCTTTCTCTCTCTCTCTCGTTTTGTTTTTGAGAAAGGGTTTCTTTGTGTAACACCGGCTGTCCTGGAACTAGCTTTGTAGACCAGGCTGGCCTTGAATTCACAGAAATCCGCCTACCTCTGCCTCCCAAGTGCTGGGATTAAAGGTGTGCGCCACCACCACCTGGCTCAGAACTCCCAACTTTTATAAGCATTTACAAGTGGTGGCAAGATGCCTGCATTGAGTGAACCACCAGTTGTTATCCTGGTCCCGACAGTGAAGGCAACAGAGTTGTTTGAGCAATGTGAGCAGGTGGCCAATGCACCCGAGACAAGAAGCAGAACTTGGACCTCTAACTGCCACATGGGATGCATGGGTGGTTCTGTGAACTACCTGTGGTCCCGTGTCTTGCTGTTGCAGCTGGCATCCCAGTGCCCTGTGTGCGTGCCCAACCTGGTGCAGTCCTTAGATCTGAAAAGGAGGGTTGGAGGTATGTGTTTCCTCTACTGCTTGAGGTCAGCCACTGTCATCTCTCCCCTCAGCAGCAGGAGAGTTCCAGGTCCAACAGATGCTCCTGTCTTCTTGGGAGCTCAGTCTTACAGATGGTCTTCAGTGGCCCTGTCTCTGGAGTCAATCCCCATTGTCATTTTAGGAGTAGTAACTTCCCACAGAGTCCCCTTGACTGTGCTTCGCGGCTCTTATGTGGAACCCATGTGACAGAATGCCTGGTGTTTGAAGGTGTTGGCTAAAGTCCTTGCTGTGAGAAGCTTGGGTTATGAACAAATTGTCTGGGTCGTGGCAGTGCTGCCCACTGGGACTGTGCTGGTGATGGTCTCTCTGAGCTTACCCCCACCTGGCAACCAGGAATCCCAGCACCCAGTGAAGGGTAAGACTCCCTCCACTCGGAGCCACCAGAGATCGTCTAAGCAGGAAAACAAAGGACAGGGGATCACCTGAGGCCATTCAGAATGACCCCGTGAATGAGGCCAGTAGACAAGCTCGGCAATCCTGACATGGGATCCCCCTCGCCAGTGAGCTCTGCAGTCCTGAACTCAGTTTCCTCTCAGCTTCTCTTCTGCTGAAGATGGCTGTTAACAGGGAGGCAAGAGAGGCTGCAAGTCTATCCCGAGTGAGCTACCTGCTTAGCCTCTCTGAAGAACGGACTTACTGCCCAGGACCCTGCTGCCCAGATGTCATAAACACCACCCCGGGGCTTGCAAACGTTTCACAAGGGGATGGACAACAAGGGGTTGCACGGCACGGTCAAAGGGCGAAACACGCACATTTTAGAGACGTCAGAATATAACTTGCAGTTGTGTATTGTAGTTACATCCACCAGAAGTGAGGGGTTTCTGCAGATTTCCCCTAGCTAGCAGGGAGCCATGGGAGCATGCTTTTGCACACCACCTGTAGCGGGTGTCCTGGCAACGGGCGGCGGCATCCACACACTTCTTTACATCGACCAATCAGTATTTCTCAGAGGAGTAAAGCAGGCATCCAAGTCATTCACTTACAACCACACCGAAAGGTAAGAGAGAGAACTGTGGCTCACAGCCCAAACCTCAAGACTCAAATGCAGTGTGATGTCCCTGATTAATGGGCTTGGTTGTTTGAATCAGACGCCTGCCCAGCGGGAGAATAAGGAAAGACTTCATTAGTCAAAACTATGAAACCCGAGCTCAGCCATCAGTCAGAGCAGCTGAGAAGCACAAGGACGCGAACAACATCATGCATGTACACGCACGGAAACAAAAACAAGAGAGCCACGGAGAGGGTGGAGTTTTCAGGGCTGCTGGGTACTATCCCAAAGCCTCATATAGTCAAGGGGTTGTTCTATAACCTTCTGGTTGGGTGTAGAAAGAATGAGTTTATTCTACTCCCATCCCAGTGAAGGTAGCCTGTTAAACCCTACACGATGCTGAAAATGGCCCATTGGGCTCAACTGGCAATGATCCCTTTGGGATGTCACCCTGGGTAGGGTGATGCAGCCATACGGCAAATGTTCAACCTCAGCAAATGACCCAGCTCCTCCCCCAGTCCAGTCCTCAAACTAGTGATTGAGGGAGAGGGAATGACAGACGCATGTTCAGACACCTGGCTACACCACCCACCCTCTGGCCACCTCTGGTCACCAGTTTGGGTTTTAAGGAATCTCTGCCTGCCTTCAAGATGGTCCGGGCAAAAGGCTGGAAGGAACGGAACAGAGACCTGAGCTTCCTTCTGGAAGCGACCATGGGCCTGGCCCAGTGCAATCTGGCGTCTTTATGTGTCTGTGTGTCACAGGCTGTATGACAGCCACGGTCTTGGCTCTGATGTAGTCCGGTGACAGGGTGGTGTTAACACGGTTACAGCCTAATAGGTGTGGCAGAGGCCACGCAGGTCCCCTCTTCTCGATTGCATTGGTGGCTCCCCAGTGGTTTTGCTTGGCCAGTGCTGGACCACACATGCCCAAGCTGACTGTGAACTTACCTTGGAGCGAGGTTGGCTGACTTGGCTCCCACGGGCAGTTCCAGCCCTTCCCCGGGCTTGATGGATTTCCCCCTATTCATCTGCTGCAGTATGGAGTTTAGCTCACTGATGACATTTGCCTTTGGGCCTGAGAGAATTGGGCTTTTGACCTCTGTGACATCACCCCACAACTTGGAGGTCCTTGGCTGGATGACTTTCGCCATACTGGCCTGGGCACTGCCCGGTGGGGGCGGGGGTGCGGGTGGGGGGATCACGAAGCCATCTGTGTCCTCTTCCGGGAGCGTGTCTTGGTAAAGTGCGTTGCTTTTGTGCACAATGGGCTTCATTTTTGGCTTTGGAGGTACTGGGGGTTTGTCAACCACAAAGGCTTGCCCGTCTGCATAGACTGTACAGGTATCCATGCTCTCCCCGCCCTCTGAGGACAGCGTGGAGATACTGGACACTGTGGAGATGGTGCTGGTTGTCTCGAGATGGTGGTCGCTGCTACTCCGGCTGTCCACCTCCTCGATCCCGGAGTCGGTGACGGCGTCAAAGCTTTCGGGGGGTGGCAGGAATGAGGAGGGCAGACAGTTTGAAATGCCCGTTGGCTTCTTACTGTCTGTAGAGTTGGCTGGCTGCCTGGAGTTCAATGAAGGGGGCTGAGGGGTGTCATTTTTCTTCTGCTTGACCAAGTCAGCCAGAGCGGGAACTGAAGCCGCCCGGTCATCAGGAATATCAAAACTATTTGCAAATTCCAGGGGAGGAGGCAATGGTTCTGTGAAAAGGAAGTCCTCATCCAAGTCCACGGACGCCAGAGGGGGAGGGGGGATGCGGAATGGCAGAATCACTGCCTCTTCCACGGAGCCCGCTGCCACAATGGTCCTGCCGGGCGCAGCGGCGGGCTCGGGGGCAGCGGAGATCTGTAAAGCACCTTCGGTTTTGGGAACGCCTTCTGGCACTGTGGAGGGTGAGTGGTCTGGCTTTATATCCACATCCTCTCTGTCCTCCTCTTCCTCCAGGGGTGGCCCTGCCGTGGGGACGTCCACCGTGTGCACCATCAGCAGGCCGGCTGACTTCTGCTGGGCCGTATCCACGATGTTGATCAGCATGTTCTTCTTATCGTCACCCCTCCGGTCCTTGCTCAGGTCTGTCTCGTACTTGTTCTCTGTCTCTTGCCGTCGCAGGGGACCCCGGGTGTTTTGCCTGGTGACCGGAGGAAAGCCGGACTCCACACTGGGCCGCATTTTGGTATCGATGTAGAGAGGCTTGTTGAGGTCAGCCTTGGGGGCCTCCCCCTTGTGCCCCTGCTGAGACTCCTGCATGGCTCGATCCCTGGCAGAGAGTGCCAGGGCCAGTGGGGAGCTGGGGTCGAGCAGCCGCCCTGTGAGTGGGTGCACGTAATTCTCAGGGCTGGCTGGGCTGCCACTCTTGAGAGGACCTGCTAGGCCACTCTCAGGCCCCTTGGCTTTGGATGTGGAACTCAGGGGTCCCCCGGTCTCCCCCGGAGTACCAGCCTCACCACCACCTAGGAAGTGGTTCTCCAGCTCCCTGGGTGCTGTCCCAGGGGTAGGCGATAGTGGCTGTTCCGTTCCATCCTCGTCACCAAACCCACCCTCCTCAGGGAAGTTGGAGGGCCGTATCCGGGGAGCAGGTGGCCCCAGACCCACATCTTCATCTCCCAGGTCTGTGGAGAGGAAGGCTGGGGAATTCCTCCTGGCTTCCAGACGCTTCTCCCGGTCACGTACAGCCCCAGCGATGGCGGCAGCGAAGGGACTGCTGACGGTGAGGCTGTCGTCGGGCCTCAGCTGGCCAGGCTCGGCGGCCTGGGGGTCAATCTCCATGCTGCTTCCCTGGCTGCTCTTGCCGCTGCTGCTGGTGGAGGGTTCCTTGACGATGATGGTGGGGATGGGGATGGAGCATGTCTTCTCAGGGCTGTCCTCCACGTTGGACTGCTTCACCAGCATGCCCTTCCGCCTGGCTGGCTTGGCAGGGACGTAGACGGCCTTGCTGGCTATCTTCCCCACCTCTGAGTATGGGTTCTCAGGCATCTGTCCCCGCTTGGTGCGGAAGGCGGCCTGTGGGGTGGGGCTGCGGCTGTAGACATCTTCAGAGTCCAGGGAGAATCGGTCCAGCTCTCTCCTGTAGAACATCCCCTTTTCCCGCATCATGGTGGCCACAGTATCAGACCTGGTCGCTGGCGGCACCTTGGCGACGGGGTTCTGATTGAATGCAGGCTTAATTGTCCCATAGACTCTTGGAGTCGGGGACTTGGGGCAGTTGTACGTGGTGGGGGAAGGTGGAGGGGGAGACGGGGGCACAGACTGCGGCGGAGGGGGTATGTCCTCAGAAGTGTCCGGCATGGACAGGCTTCGGGTGAACTTCAGCATCGGGGGAGCCAGAAACTGCCGCTCTTCCTCTGTTATCCCTGTAAGCAGAGAACATGTTTTTAAGTCCGGCAATCTCAAAGCCCAATGGAGGCCCCAGGACTGTGTAACACACTGTGTCTCCACAAATCACAGACTCAGACAGTAGACAGTTGTTAGACAGCACAGCACAGCCAGGACGCTGGGGTTAGTTACACACCCTCTAGGAGCCGGAATCAGAAAGACAGGTGTTCGGTGTGGTGAACACATCTAGGGATTTGCTTTTCTGGGGGCACACCGTGGAGTCTGGGGTGAGGCTGTGTGTACCCTCAGGTCGAGCTCTGGCCATGTGAACCCAAAGATGTGGCTGCGTGTGTGTACATGGAGGTGCTGGTGCAGGAGGCATCTGTCTGTCTCTCTCAGGCCTGGTGAGGGCTCCCATGGGACTGAGACTCTCATCCGACTCTGAGAGGCCATGTGAGTGGCATAAAGGTCAGGGCTGCTGGCCCTCTTGCCCACTCACCAGGCAGATCTTCTACTCGTCTAGAACAGCCCACTACCTACTGGCGGCCCATGTGTGCTACTAAAAGGTGCTACTGTTCTTGTGTGGTCTTCTCCAAGGGGACAATGACCACTTTTGTCACCTGATTCCTCTGGGCCACACAGAGGGCTTTGTGTACGTTGAACTCCTCAGCCCTCAGCAGGTGGCTGGCACAAAAGAAAGGCCATTCTGGCAAGGGCTGTCCCCGTGAGGGGAGGGAGTCTTGGTTCTCCACTTGGTCTTAGCCCACAGTAGCTGCAGGATGCTGATCCATCAGCACGCCAGCTGCCCAGCTCCACAGAAGCACTGTAGTGGGCCTGTAGGACCTCTGGAGAGTTGTGGTTGGCTGTCATGGAAAAGCAGAACCGTGTTCTGAGGCCTGGCTGGTGAAAGTGTGTGAACGTGACCATGAGCAGGGATGTGGCTGAAGCCACGGCACAGCCTGGGTTTGCTCTGGGAGTATTAGCTGGGGTGACAGTAGGCTCCAGTATGGCCTAAAACACAGAGACAGAAGCAGCACACACAGCGGCAGACGCCAAGGATGGGTTCTCACACAGGGGCATGCAGGTTTTCAGAGGCAACAAAATGAATTACTTGAAATTAAAAAAAAATTCCCAGGACAAACTACAGTCACTTATCCCATGAGAACTTCCATTTGATAAGGGTATTCCAAATTAAACATACTCCTGTGGGAGGCTAATTTGCCATCTCAGAGGTCTGTTGCTGAAGGAGATCTCTGTGGACCATACACTGTGAGTTGTCACCTAAAGGTGACATTCCCAAGGAGTAATAATTTAAGAATACCCCTTATAAAGTAAACCAGGATACATTCAAGTTACAGATTCCAAACTGGGGGTTCACTGACCTGATAGAAAGATTCTGCTGTCTGACAGGAGGAAATCAACTGTTATTAGCCAGAAAGATCCAGAAATACAACAAGGTGTGTGTACAGCTATGCCTGGCCCAGAGTATGCCAGGGGTGGGTGAGCCACCGAGCTGCAGACGCCACCATGGTCATTATCACCTAGATGCCGCCTCCTGCCTCCTCCTCTGACTAAAAACAGACATGCCATGCCTCTGGCAGCATCGTCAGGAGGAGCTTCTGGAACACACAGAGCTTATGTTTCTGGCAGTGCCCTGGTGAGGCTGGAGGTTGCAAACCCCCTCCCTTTATGTGGCAAGGCTCCACTGTGTCCAGCAGTAGCCTTGGCTTCCAGAAAGTTCACGTGGTACGGACCACACTGGAGTTTTTTCTGTCTCGAGGGGTCAGGTTTACCTTGTCCTGTCCGAGCCAGTGAGGGAAACGGGATGTTAGCAAGGAAGGCAAGCTGCTTTCTTACACAAAGCGGTTCATACCTGACCCAGCCACCCGGAGAAGTACGTCCCTTGAGCTCAGCCTATGAAACATTGACTGGAGGGGTCTGCCCGCCTGGCCCGCCCTCCATCCTGCTCCCCCAAGTGCTTAGATTAGAGAAAACACCGTTAAAGGAAGGTTTTATACCCCACCAAGTTCAAGGGGCTGCCTGGTGGGAGAGAGGCTGGGCACCTGCCCCCTGGTAGGCAGCCCTGGTGGGGAATGGTTAGGGTCTAGGTGCCAAGGCAACCAATGGGTCAGGAGTCAGGAGCCCAGAACTTCTGAGGAACTGAGGGCTGCAATTGAAAGCTTAGGGGCAACGTCTTCGGGTGGGGGTCACACTTCTTACCTATAGATTTCTGCCTTCGCATCGTACCTCGAGGGAGGCCCAGAAATGGGCCTTTCGGGCTCCCAGGGACCGTGGGCGTCATTACAGCAATCCCTTGGCGCTCGTACACGGACTGCAAATAAGAGAACCAGGTGAGGTGCATCCCTGGGAACCCCCCACTCATAGTGACAGGACCAGAAATGACAGAAAGCTCTGGGAGCAGTAGGAATCAATCACCATTGGCTTCCTCAGGCCATGCCCTCCCACACTCCATTTGGCTCCTGTGCATATGACGCCCAGCTCTAGGCAGCCACACTCTGCTGAGACAGCATTTACCAGGCCAGTCGGCAAAGAAGCTTAGGGCCAGGATGGCTGGCCCATGGGGAAAAACAGTGTGGTAGGCAGTGGGGTCTGATACAGGCCAAACCCTGGGTCCTCATGTCCTCGTGACTTTGGTCAAGTCCTCAGCTGGGATCCTGTTTCTTCTTCTAGCTACAACGGGTGTGGTCAGGTGACAGGGCCTGTGCAAATGAGTAGGATGTCTGACCTGTCACCCAGGAAGAACTATCAAGTGACCCCGGAATGTGTCACGGAGACTGCAGCAGGCTCTGTCCTTCCTGTGGCCTGCAGGTGGACTCTCAGAGAGCACACTCTGCCTCCCCACAGCTACTACCCCTATGCTGTGTGCCCTGCCAGTCTGAGAGAGATTGCCAGTTATGCCCCACAGGCCTGGGAGGGACTTGAGAAAGTTCAGGCGCTAATGTGCACTAGGAACATGTTTGGGGGAACTCTGACAGGCTCACCTGCGCTTCAGAGCCTCTACCATAGAGCCTGAGGCTAGGGAGGTAGGATATTGGCCCCTGGGAGGCCAGAGGAACGTATCCCAGGGGCTGTCAGGGTGGAAAGTGGCTAGGTTGAAGGATGGGGGGGCTTTGAGAGGGAAGAGGACTGAGGTGAACATTTGAACTTCAGTAATATCTATTTTATTGCATATAAAACTCTTACCAAATTCATGGCAACTGTGGGTGTTATTGTCTGAAAGGGCTGGATTAAACCAAGCTAATCTGAAAGTGAGTCAAAGAAAATACCCAGCTATGTGGTGGGACAGTCAGTGTCCATACCTAGCAATGGATGGTGATGGTGACTAGAAACCAGAGGGAGGCATCAAGGGGTACGAAGCCCTCACCATTGCCCAGACTCAGCCCTGGCTCCTGAGGAACTTGTCACCTTTTTCTGGGAGTACCTTTTACTTGGGGTGGGCAGGCATAGCAGCAGCAGCAGCTGTGAGCTGGCATCCAGTGCCTCCCATGGACTCAATGATGTCCAGCACACCGAGCAGCTTCCCTTCTAAGGATGCCGCTAACCCAGCTCAGAGCATGCGCTAAGCGTAAGTACAGAGGACCAGTGTGTGGGGCTCTACTGTCTGAGGAACACTTCCACAGCCTCTATGACTGTGGTCTCTTGACTGGGCATATGGAGGACACCTTCAAGGTCTGGGACTCTGTGGATAAACCCAGGCCAAGATGGCTTTGCACTTTAGCCTGGTCACTGACTCACTGTAGATCTGTGTTGAACCAGAGTACTCGCCCATGGAAATGGGCTCTGAACCTATGCAGAGAGGGTGTTGAAGGTCAGCTGCTGAATTGGCCTGCCCCATGCATGTTGAGCCCTCTGACTGCCCACCAGCCAGGCCAGCCCAAACCCTACCCAGTCCCACTGGCTCACGTTCACATCAGAGGCTGCTGGGAAGCACCGGCTAGTGGGCCGCTGCTTGATGGTCGCCACCCTCGATTCTATGGCCACATTCTCTGCGGTCCTGGAGGGCTTGGAGGCTGGCACTATCTCTTCGGGTTTATCTAGAAGACAAAGCAAGGGTTGGAGTGGCTTAGTCTCACGGTACTTTGGGGAGTGGGTAGGCTCAGCTAGGAGAATGCAGGCATGCAGCCACTGTGTCTGGAACAGCGGGCAGGCTGTGGTGTGGGGAGCAAGCATGCATCTCTCCCCACTTCACACATCCCACTAGGGCACCACCACGCATCCCAGACCTCACCTGCCTGAGGTGTGTACACTGGACAAAGACAATGGGAGACCTCAGCATCTCAGCCTTCCCCTTTAGAGACCCTGATACCACTTAGGACCTGTGACTTGCCATCTTCAGATCCGACAAATGGGGTTTGTTATTGATGGTATCATGTTAATTTTGGAATTACTATTATCATTTCGAGCCAGAGTCTCATTGTTTAGTTCAGACTGGTCTTGAACTTTTGTTTCTCCTATGCAAGTCTTCTGAGGGTTGAGACTACAGGCCTGTGTCAGGTATGTCGCGCGCGCACACACACACACACACACACACACACACACACACACTCATAAATGTGGTCCTTTTCGTAACTAAACACAGTTTCCAAGGCAAGCAACCTGCACCAAGGCTGGGATGTTGACGGTGTTTAGTAAGCCAGACACGATGGCAGAGACCCCAGACCTCTGAGCCTGTGCTGCATAGGGAACTTTCATCTTTTCCCCATGCTAGAACATCCCCAGTTCTAGAAAACGAAAACCAAAGCTTAAGGAGTCCTGGAAAGTGAAAAAGATGTAAAAAAGAAAAAAAAAAGCCAACTTGAAAATGAAAGCTCATTCTAGAATGCCCCTGACAACTGAGGTCCCGAAACCAGGCACAAGGCTTTGTCTAGGTCACCAGAACACAGGCACCCCATTCCCTGAGACCCACAGTCAGTGCCCCCAGCCTCCCAGAGGCACTTGAGGAAAAGGCCCTAGCTGTCCCAGGCTGTGTTTTCTGCAAGATGCCCTGGGCCAGGATGAAGTTGATGGGGAGCCATGCTTGTGGGCACCTCCCATATTGGATCCTTTCTGAGGTACACGGAATGCTAACTTCTAAATTATTCATTGTACAAGCTGAGTCCTATAGGCAAGCTCTCCCATTCTGGGTCTGATATGACTGCCTGTTTAGTGAACACAGGGTGACAAAACTACCAAGTCATCCAGGGTGCTACTTGGCAATGGTGTGTTATCCGGAGAAGCTGACCCTCTGGCTGAGTCCCCAGAGCCACGGTAGCGCTCAGTGTCCAGTGCAAAGTCACGTTTTCTAAGAAGGCAGGCCAGAGCCAAAATCCCTTGAGGAGGACTCCAGAGGAAGTGGGTGTGCTGGGGCTGGGGGCAATGGAAGAATCCACCATAGCCCGACATCCTGAGAAGACCACTAATTCCAGACCAGTATTGATTCTAGCAGTCCAGATGATGGCTGCACTCCACATGAGGCCCATGCCAGGTCCTGCACAGCCTTGGAGCCTTTCCACATGTGTAAAGAGCTTAAAGAAGGACGAAGATTGTAGGAGACTGCAGGCCTGCAGACCCACACAGTCTCAGGTACTGTGTCTCTTCATAGCTGACTCTGATACCTGGGCCCACAGGCTTCTCTGGTCATGGGCCTCTGCCCCTCAGGGATTGGTCAGGCAACTGCTTGGCTCCTGTCTCCACTGGCAGTGAGGACATTTGCAGCTCCAATCGCCCATGTGCTCCGGCCCGAGTCACGAAGCCCTCATCTTAAATCAAAGCGTCACCCTCACTCCCCTGGGCCTGCCCATTCCTGCTGGAGTATCGGTCACCTGTGGTTGTGTCTGCTTACCACCTTGCACACCGGCAGACTGCTTTCCACCACGTGCTATAGGCCATGTCCGCCTGACTCTCTGCTGTCTTCCTCCAGGACTCCAGGTTGGCTTTTATGGCTGGGACAGAACTTGTTTCTGTGTAGTCCTCACGTCCCACCTGCCAGCTGGGCAGATACTTGTGTGGCCGGCTTTGGTGAGCTAGCCAGGGCACACTGGCCTGTCTTGATCTGCGCGCCCACACTATATGCCAGATCCCTCAGTACTGGTCATTTGGCTTAGCTTCAGCTGAGGTGAACCCCACAGCCTCACAGTCTGTTCTTTCAAGGATCTCCCTAGCACTGGAGAGCCATGTCCCACCACCGCAGTGGGTGCTGGCAGGGAACACTGATGTCACTCTAGAAGTCCCCTCCTCTCCTTTGGGATGTTTGCACTGAACTTACTCATGCTGTCCACAGAGGTTGAGTCTAGGGGACACAGCATCCTGAGCCTGGAACATGGGACACGGAGGCCACTGAGTTACAAGAGGAGTGACTCTTGGTGTTTGATGTGGAGCGCTCTGGACACCTGCAAGAATCCAGCCACCTCCAGCTTGCGCACAAACCTCGAAATGCGAAGGTCCTCTCCTGGCTGGCTCACCCTGTGAGCGCTTGCCTAGGACTACCAAGTAGAGGTGTGGGTGAGATTCAGGAAACTCCTGGTTTTCCTGCCCAAAAGATCTGGTCTTAGTGGAACTCAATGGTTGGTGGTAGCAGCTGGGCAAGGGAACATTGTGGGCCTCAAGAACCCTTGGAACATCAGATGCAAGATGCACAGGGCCACAGTACTGCTAGTAAGGTCCTGGGTACAGACTCAGTAAGGGGAGGTAGTTGACCAGAGTCTGCCATGTAGGGTCTGGGTACATGGAGGGCATAGGACATGAAAGGAACACACTCGCGCTGAAGAGTCTTGGAGTCACAAATAATCTTCCTGGCAGGGGCCGGCAGTGTGGGTGAGTTCACTGGTGGCACGTGGGGTCTCTTGTCTAACACATGAATGCCTGTGGCATCTCCACATGCCAAGCAGGAGTGGGCTGTGGTGTGAGAACAGCAGGTCCTTGGATGAGCGTCTCCCGTGATGGTCCTGACCCTGTGGGGCTTTGAGGCTTCATCCCGTTTCACACAACTGTAGCAAGAGCCATGTCTTTCACTGAGAACACAGTAGGAGGGTGCTCCTGTAGGGGTCATGGGAGTCATCCGCCTCACTTAGCTGACTGGGCAGGCTTGTGGAGTCAGTAACATGACAGTGCTGGTGTGGTTGTGTCTTGGGGTACACCCCCGGGAACCTTGAATGTTGGCCTGGTCTCGAGCTCTGCCTTTCCCATCAGCCTTAGGAACTGCTTTATGAACGTCTCCGACCCCAATCTTCTAGCATTAGTGCCACTGGTGTGAGTCAGGTGACAGACGGTTTTCATCTTGTTCCTAAGATTTACTGACCAACGGGAACTATAGACTTGACCACACAGGTTCCATCTTTGAGATCTTACTGACAGGAACTACAGGTGGCTGGCTCCTGAGGACACGGCTTAATTTCCAAAGCCCAGAACTGGAGTTGTATAGATGGCTGAGGAGGCCAGGCCCTCGCAGGGCCAACATGAGGTCTTGGTGACTGGATAACACACATGAAAGTCATCATGGTACGCAAAACAATTCAGCCGTGAGCCGAGTTTTCAGTCTCAAAGCAAGTTTGGGGTCTCTCACAAAGACTTCCAGGAACCAGAGAGAGAGAGAGGTTACTAATTTGTCAGGCTCCCCGAGGAGCCTATAGCCACATTTCTCAGCAACACCTGCCTGCCCTGTGCATCATGGTATCCCCCCAGCCTGTGGGTTTACCTGGGCCACAGGCAGCCCCAGAAGTTGCAGGGGGAAGCACTGGAGAGCATAACCAGTGTCCTCAACTTGGGGCACCTGCTGCTTTCCATGTGACAGTTGACCAGATGTCATGACTCTGTGGAAAGAAGTCTCAACGTCCTGGGGGAGGGGAAACAACCCAAGGCCAAAGGCAAAGCAAGAGCTGGAAGCAGTCTAGGCTGCAGCCCACTGCTGCCTCCCAGGCACATCTGACTCCCAGGCAGCCAACAGAAGACCTGCTGAGGTCTTCTGTCCCTTGGCCACAAGTGAGGTGATGATGCAGTCAGAGCCCAGAAGTCAATCCCTGGTCAGGGCAGCGATCCAGTTGTCTCTCATGTACAACATAGGATCTTTGTGCAAGACCAAGAGCAGGTGTTCCAGAAGCATCCATGAAGCCAGCAGTGAGATTCATGGGTACTCATAGCAGCTGAGATAACTGGGATTTGTCTATTCCCAATCACCAAGCTTTCTTTTTGGTATCTCAGAGCCAGTGGCCTCTGCTCCCTCTGCAAGGCCAATGTCGCTGTACCCATTTCAGGGTGAGCTAGCACAGGGCAGGCTTCCTCAGCCCCACTGCTACCAGGAGAAAAACCCAAACATGACACCATCACCCGGGCCACCAGCGGGCTGCCTCCTGTCTGCTCTCCCAGGCAGTGAAGCGTGGGTATGCGGCTTGGGCCCCATGGACTTGTGGACTCCAAGTCTGGGAAGGTCTGTGCGCTTACTCAGAGGTGACAAGCAAGGTTGGAGGTCATGGTCACACAACCAGTCCCACCACTCACTCTGCCCAGTCTCTACTCTCACCTCAGCTACCCTAGGCTGTTGTGTCTGTGGTGGTTGGACACAGCGATTTTTCCCACCACAGGCACTAGGGCAAAGGGCTCAGTGAAAACCCAGGGTCTCTAAGTTGATGTGGCCAGTTGGGTGGAGCCAGGGTTGAGGCTGCCTCACTCTATTTGAGAAAGGTCTCATGTAGCTAAGGCCGGCTTGGAACCTGAGATTTTTCTGCCTCTCAGGTCCTTAGTGCTGGGATTACAAGCATGCAATTCTAATTTTCAGCAACTTCCTGGGACCAACAGATTAAAAGGATGAAGACTTGTCCTCTCCCTGTTCTGGACATCCATGGTTAGGGTTAGCAGGAGAGAAACCCTGCCTCTGGAGGTTCCAGTTCTGCAACACTCCATAGCTGCCTTCTTTCTTCGTAAGGCCACCAGTCAATGGTTATAGCACACCTAACCTGCTGTGATCTTGTCTTGGCTGCATCAGCAAGACCTCATTTCTAAGTGTGGCCTCGTTTGTGGTCTCTGTGTGGACAAGGATTTGCAGGGACCGAAGTTACTCTTCAGCTCAGGGTAGCTGGGGAGGCCAGGTTCTTCTTTCAATCTATATAGCCTGCCTGGAGTGTACTCCTGCCCAGGTAAGCAGTCTTCCCAGACAGCCTGGACAGGCATCAAGAGGGACTGAGCCATTGCTGAGTACCCGCCCCACTCAGGCATCATGGGCCCACGTGGCTCCAAGCTTTCATGGCAGGTTCTAGTCCACCAACCAAGTGGCAGTGGCTGTGGAAGCTGGGTATCCTCAGTCCCTTCTCCCTGGTTGGGCTGTGACCAGTGGTCCCTTTGGCATCTACCTGCCCCCACCTCCTGGGTTGGGGCATTTCTTCTTAACTTTCTTCTTTCTTTCTTTCTTTCTTTCTTTCTTTCTTTCTTTCTTTCTTTCTTTTTTTCTTTCTTTCCCTCCCTCCCTCCCTCCCTCTTCTTCTTCTTCTTCTTCTTCTTTTTTGGAAGGCATGTGATCTATCTCTGAGTGTATTCACTTCACGCTGGCCAAAACCTCTGTCCCCAGGTGTTGCAGCACATCTCTGGGAGGTGCCCTTGGATGGGCTTGCTGGACTCGATTTCATCTTTTTTACAATGGACTTTTCTTCACCAGCTCTGTTGGGGCACCCTGGGCCTTGGGATCCCACAGCGGCATGCCTCTTCTGACAGGCTAGAGCTGGGTTCGGCTTTTGATGGTGGTGGTGGTGCTCATATTATAATGTAACTATAGGACCCCTGAGAAGAAGGGCAGTCTTAGACTGGACATCAGCCACAGTCTTGACCCCAGAGACCCTGCTGGAGTGTCCTGTGATGCTTGATGTGGTGAAGGCATGGATTGCTGCAAGGATACCTGCTAACCTGAGTGGCTATGATGGCAGCTCCAGGGTGCCTGTCCTGCCCCGAGGCTGACTCTGCTGGATTTAGGTACTCCTGACCCCCATGTCAGCATCCAGGATTCTAGACCCACACCAGGTCTCAGACTGAGTGCACCAACCACTAGGGATCACCCCCAGCCTCATTGGGGACCTTCTTAGCCTAATGGAATGATGTTTTACAGCTGTATTGTTGAGTCACAGGTCACACCTGGCTCAGTGTTGGGGAGTCATGAGCAGTCAGGAGTATATACCTGTGATAGGGTGCTTCTGAGGGGGGCAGGGCTCTGATTTGTGTCATGCCTGTTCCCCACTCAGAAGAGCCTGGGGACAGGCAACTAGAAGGCCTGTACTGCTCCCTCCTTCCCCAGTGTGAGGGGTGCTGAGTGTTGGCAGAGGAATGAAGCCTGGGTTCCCTCTTGCCTGCTCCCCTGGCTGCTCAGTACATGTGGGTATCTCTGACCAGCTCCACAGAAGAGGATTCACAGCCTCTGCGGCCAGGCTCCATCGAGGATCCTGGTCACTTCATCAGCATGTTGATGTGGACACAGATGGGGGGACTCACAAATAGGTCGAGGGATCACAGACAGAAGCCGAGCAGACCAGACAGACCAGAACAGCGTACACCCCAGGGAGGGGCCCTTGGGTATGACTCCCAAATAGGGAAGACGACACAGGGCTCACAGCACACTCTGGACTTCACAGGACTGTCACGAGGGGGTTTCTCTTCTACTGGGCAAGAGCATGGGGACAGAGACTTCCCTTACCCTTCTTCTTCCGGACTGAGGCTTGCAAACAGAAAGGGAAGCGCGTGAGCCACCCACGGTGGCGGCGCCCTCCCATAGTGGCCCATACCCGGGGTCTCACTTAGCTCAGTGATTATAAGACACAGGTAGGGGCACTATTGTGGAGACCACCAGGAGTGAGGGGCAGGAGTCAGAGTGACCCCACAACTTGTCCTTGGTTGCTCTTTATTTCTTTCCCTGACTGAATCTCCCTTGTGGTGGCGAAGGGGTTTTCTTTCTTTCTTTGCCCCCAGCAATCTCCCAGCACTCCACAGGTGGGACTGAGCTCCACGAGGTGGGACAGGAGGGCAGCTCTGCCTTTAAAAGGACAAGGAGGCCCTGGGAGCTGGAGACCCTGGGAGCTGGAGGAACATGGCAGCAGCCCCTTCTGTAGAGTAGGTTGGCCTTGGCCCATTGTAAGCGGGACAGACATTCGGTCATGGGGACAATTTGAATGCTCCCAGTGGGATGTTTGAAGGTAAATGAATCAGGGGCCCGGCTGGAAGTGGGGGCACTGTGTCAGGGTACCCTCTTCTAGAAGACTGACAATTGGAGGTGAGCGTCAGATTTGAGTCCCAGAAAGGACAGTGTTGAGCATGAGCAAAGAGATGGGGACTGCTCCGTGCTGGTGGGGACCTACTGTTGGCTCTTAGTGACATCCTGGCAAGATGCCTCTGGGAGCTACTAGCTTTGAACCTGAGTGGTGGCTTCTGTGCCGAGGGCCACCCTCACTGGCACTACCCCTGCTCTTCAAGGGACTGGTGCTTCCCTCATTGTGGCTCTGAGCCACCTCTCTGCAGAGTCCCCTGGCTACCTGGTGGCCCCTGGGTGACACATAGAATGTGGTCCTTAGCTGCATTGGTGTCATCCCTTTTCTTAATGGTTCTAATGGCTGATGGCCCCCTGCCCTATCTGCTTCCAAGGGGACAAATGGTTAAGTCTGTTAAATGAGGACCTTTTAGAGTTCTGGGTACGCTGAGACTCTCTGAGGAGTCCCTGAGGGCAGGCCTTCCATGGCAGGAGCAAGCTGGAGGTCAGGCTGAGGTGGGGTCAGCGAGGGTGCCCAAAGCAGCAGGGATGCTGCTGCAGGGCCAGCGAGGCTGCTTACCTTTGTCCACTAGTGAGAGGCCCAAAAAGTCAAAACAAAACAATGTTAGATAAGCAGAGAGCGTATCAGGCCCACCCCTTTCGAGCCCACCGGAGCCCCCCACTAGAGACGCCAAGCCAAAGGTGAAGCTGTAGGGCATGCAGGGGAAGGGGCAGGGACAAGCAAGCCAGCGGGAGGCCGTGCATGAACTGTGTGTCTCTGAGGGCGTCAGGGTGAGGTAGCCTTACCGAGTTCCTCCAGCTCTGCCGTCATGGACTTGGAACGCAGTGTAAGGGCCGTAGTCGGAGCCCGCTTTGGAGGTGGGGGAGCTTGATGGGTAGGCAAAGGGAGAGCAGGTGTGAGAACCACCACAAGGCTTCACCCCATCCTACACCTCATCCCATCCTACACCACACCCCATCCTATACCCCATCTTACACCTCACTCTATCCTATACCCTAACCCATTCTACACCACACCCCATCCTATACCCTAACCCATCTATACCCCACCCCATCCTATACCCCACCCCATCCTATACCCTAACCCCCTAACCCATCTATACCCCATCCTATC